GTGCCTCTGTGGGGTGGTGTGAGCATTTGAACCACAGACGGTTAGACAGCATCGGCCAGCATCGGAATCAGAATCACACAGTGAGCCAGGGCGCCAGGAGGGTCACAGAACCTGTTAACTCACTGAAGGGAAGGTAATGCCGTGGGAAACAGTTCTTGGGCGACACTGAGGTGTGGGCATAGCTTTTCAAGGTGACCAGGAGTTTTGTGTCTGTGTCTCTGTTTTTGGTAATAAAATGGATGTGCTGTTTCAAAACTATGATTGTTTCTTTTCCAAATGGCTTTTTAAAATGAGAATGCCGTCAGTATTATACAAAGAATACACAATAATATGAAATTTTAGTGATTGTAATTACTTCTCAGTGATATAGCCTTTTTTTTTAAATTTTAAAAGATTTGAAAGAGGAGATGTTTAATTTGCCAGTTATGGAACCAGACTCTTTTCCCAGCAGAAGCTGGCAGCCCCCGTCCTCGGCCCCCTGCCCCCCACAACCCCCTGAGTTTTTGTGTGCCCTGCATTATGTTAGGTGCCAGGGATGTTCACGCGAGAAAGGCGTTAGGTTTCTTCACTAAGTCCCTATGAACTTCCAAAATTTGAAATACTTTTTGCATGAGGTATTAAAAATTTAGTTTAGAATTATTCATCTTATTTTATAGGCCAGTTGTTTTAAAGTGTGCGTGTCTAATAGACTACAGAAGTAGTCTATTCTTGAAAAAGAAGCATAGTGTAGCACTGTAGACTGAACGTGGACTTGGACGCCAAGTTCTTGGATTCAGATCCCAGCTCTGCCATTTCTATACTAGCTGTACTAATCTTGAGATGCCACTTAACCACTTTGTGTCCCAATAACCTTATATAGAAAAGGTGGGGCAACGAAAATACATACAGCAGGGGATTATTGCGAGTGTCAAACAAGTTCATGTGCGGAAGATATATGAAACGTGAAACAGTGCCTGGCGTATTCTAAAAGCTCACATAGCATAATTTTAAAACTTCTTTTTTAATCTACATACAGTAAGATGATCACGTTTTAATTGTACATTCTGTGAGTTACGACAAGCACATGGTCTTCTTGTAACTTCACTGCGATTGCACGGTCACAGCTCTGCTCACCCCCGGCCTTTGGCAGCCGCGGGTCTGATTCCCGCTCTTATAGCTTCGCCGCTCCCGGAAAGTCACCTGAATGACATCACGCGGTGAAAGAGAAGTCGAGCCGTTTGAGTCTGATCCCCCTCACGCAGCCTGATGCGTGTGAGAGCCACTCCAGCTGTGGCCTGTGTCAGCCGTTTGTCTCTATTGTCCGTAGTGTTCCGTTCCGTAGATTTACTACAATGTGTTAATTCATTCACCCCCTACCAACGTTTGGGTTCTTTCCATTTTTTTTTGGCAATTGTGGGTATTACAGCTATAAACAGTTGTGTACAGGGTTTTGGTTCCACATAAGTTTTCATTTGTCCTGGATATTCAGCAGTGGGAGTGCTGGGTAAATGTACGGTTAACATTTTAAGAAACTGCCTAAACTGTTTCCAGAATGGCCACCCTACGTTGCATCCCCCCGGCCCAGCAATGTCTGTGTGAGTGCTAACTGCTCTGCATCCTAGCCAGCACTTGTATTGCCAGTTTTTAAGACAGTTTTAGCTACTCTAAATAAGTGTGGAGCATAATTTCAACCATGTTTGTCTATCAAACCCTTGAGACGTGGGAGAAATTATGGAGCAGGGCTAGGTTAGATGCAGAGCCAGGGAGGTGTTCGTAAGGAGGAGGTGGAGGGACCATTAGATTCGTGAGAGGCTGGCGTGTCTGTCAGTCACTCTTGCATCCCCAGATGACTGGCACAGTACTTGGTACACGGTGGGTATGTTTACTGTATGTTCACTGAATCAGGAGCAAGTGATTGAGAGGTTAGGGAAGAAACAGGAATAGGATGGAAAATACTTTTAGATTAGACTTCATGTGAGTAATCCCAGTATAGTCATGGGACATATCCCTTTAAGTCTGTGTTTAAATGTATGTTCAAAGTTGACTCCATTCTCTGACTCCCAGCCCCTTTGCAGGAAAAAGCACAAGGCGGAAAAGACTTGATGCTACTAACTTGTATGGATTTAGGAAAGTCATCTCCTGGTCCTCAGCTTCATTATTGTAAAACGAAAAGGTTTTATTAGATTATATCTCAGCTCGTGTGTGTGTGTGTGTGTGTGTGTGTGTGTGTGTGTGTGTAAATGGGGGGGGGGGCTCCACCCACAGAGCCACCCCCGGCCGCCATGGATGAGAACAAGTCTACCAAGACATGACCTGCTTGGGGAGGAAAGGTGGCTGATCTCTCAGAGGAGGAGGACCAGGAGCCTGTTCCTCAGTGGGCTTTTATTGGGTTCAGTCTGCACAGGAATGCAGGTAAAGCTCACCAGTCAGTGTCAGGCAGTAAGGATCAAACAATTGATAACATACAAAGAACTCTGAGGGCTTATTCTGAGTCAGGGTCAGTTAGCTAAAGGGCCATAAAACTTTGGGAAACAAACTCATTTCATGCTTGGACCCTTATCAGAAAACTGAGGGCCTTCTTAGCAAAGCAGCTTTCACAGGATTTTATGCCTTCTTTCTTAGGCCTGATTGCCCTGGGGATCCTGACACCATTCCTGCCCAGGGCTGCACCGCCCTCTGGCATTGTTTCAGGCTTAAGTCAGGCAGGGGAAGTAAGGCAGCCAAGAGATTAGGAGACTTCTTGCAGACAGAATGAGGATTCAGGCTGTGTCAAAGCTGAGCAGTAGGGGTCCATCACCCCCTTTTTCTATAGCCCCTCAAGTCCTTCCCTAAGGCCCCCTTCACGACTGTTCCTGTCTTAGGTCATCCCTCCTTTGAGGAATCGTACACATCATTTGCTAACCAGTCATCCACCTGGGACCAAGCAGGGTGAAGTAAAAGAGGCAGAGGCGGCACCCCAGCCAGGGAGATAAGTTTTGTCTCCTTAGTGGCTTATGGTCCCAAGGTCTCTCACTCAGCCTTAGCCATGGGGGGTTACAGCTTCTGATACCAGGCAAGGTGGTTCCCAACATATATATTTTTTTGTAATGACATCAAATACAGAATAGTTTAGTAGGTGAGGAAGAAGCATGCCAGAGCCTTTGATGGGGTCTGGGGGAGAGTTAGCTATGAATGCATTGCAAAGTGCATCTTACATCTCACAGGGAGTTCAGAGGTATCTAAATATAGAACCAGCTAATGAGCAATTGGCAGAAACAAGCTGAGATAGAAAAAGATAGTTACAGGTTTTCAAATATAGTAGCCACAGTGCAGGATTTTTTTTTTTTTGGAGGGTATAAAAGGAATTAGGGATTGAGACTACTGAATTTAGAAGATTTTTTCCCCCATGAAGCAAAGTTTTAAGTTAATCCAAAGACTGGAGGGAGGCTGCCTACAATGTCTTTCAACACAAAGTGGAGGGCCTGGGCCTCAGAGAAAGCACAGCCCAGGGTGTGCGGGGGCACCGCCAGTTCTGGGCCCTGTGTGAACCCGTGGTGTCGCCACCGCCTTCTAGTGGTCTGTGTCGCCGCCCTCGCTCTCCCCTCACCTCTCAGCTCCGAGATGGGAAAGGAGTTCTTGTGAGGTGTTTATTCTGTTTGCACTTTGAACGGTTTTACACACCTGTTGGTAGAGATTTGATAACATACTTATTACCCAGATAAGCTTATCATTCTGTGTTGTTAAGGGATTTGGTCTATTTTGTGGTTTGTCTGACATTATTTAAAGCACCATAGCATTTGAAATTTTATTTGTTTCCTGCTGTGATTCTTTTTAAATATTCAGAGGTCTTGATTGCTGGAACACCTTTTTTAATATATAAATTTTCAGGCTGTTTTTGTTTTCGTTCTTTTTCCTTGTGATGAGAATTCTTAGGATTTATTCCCTTAATCATTATTTTTTTCATAGTTTAATATTTCCAATAGTTTTATTTTTCTGAGGTAAACCATATTTTTGCTCTAATATAGTTTAGGTTGTAAAATCAAATGTCTGATTATTTATCTTAGACTGTGTTTCCAGTAGTTCGTTTTAAAACATCAGTGTTGTGTTCTTCTGGTCCTGAGGCTCCACAAAAGTACAGTTGTCCCTCGGTGTCCACGGGTGTTAGTTCTCACTGATCTGAGGGCGCTCAAGCCCCTCAGATGAACTGGCATACATCCTCTCAGGACATTTCGTCATCTCCAGATTATAATGCCTAATACAGTGTAAATGCCCTGTGAATAGTCATTAACACTGAATTGTTAAGGGAATAATGACAAGAAGAAGAAGTCTGTGCCTGTTTGATACAGACACGGCCATCACAGGCCTAACTACATGGTGTACATCAGCAACAAAGTAACATTTTTTCCCCCAGATATTTTCTGTCCACAGTTGCATTCACAGACTAGGACCTGCAGATACGGCTGGCTGCCTGTAACCCTCAGGCAAATAGTTTAGGGAAGAGAGAGAGGAGTCCAACTTCTGTTTAACCTTCCAGCTCCTAAAGAGCCGGTCTAAGACTCATTGACCAAAGATATACTTTCAGATTCTAATGCAAATAATTAACGTTTTTAGATTGAAAAACATTTTTTAGTGCGCTGTAACATTGTCATCACCTTTAGGCGTAGTTACCCTTAGGAAGCTGTTCTGCAGTTTTTAGTCCGTGAAGTCTGTTTGTTACAGTAGGATATAAAAAATGTTTGGACTATTTGAAGATTTTGTGCTGGATAATATTCTGGAAAGGAAAATATACAGGTTTATGTTAATACTAATGGACAGAAAACAAAGGCTTCATAAACTGGACAGCTTATTTTGGGGGGCCATTTACTCTTTTGAAAGTGTGAATTTCAAATGCACTGACCACTTGTCAGACCAGTCGGTCGTGTAGGAGGGTCACCTCTACGGTATTCAAGCTCTGTAATTAAAGGTTATGTAGGCATCATTCTGAAATTGAATTTGGGCAGTTATGTGTAGTAATAAAATACACCTTTTTTTATATCTTTCAGAATCATGGTGTCATGGAAAGGGATTTACTTCATACTCACTCTGTTCTGGGGAAGCTTTTTTGGAAGCATTTTCATGCTCGGCCCCTTTTTACCTTTGATGGCTGTGAACCCGTCCTGGTATCGCTGGATCAACAACCGCCTCGTGGCGACCTGGCTCACGCTTCCCGTGGTAAGATACACGCTGAGTGGCCCGACCTATGGATTTTCACCTTGTTAGAGTCAGATTCAGTCAGATGTTAGACGTCAGAAGTCTTCGCTGTCGTATAAGACGTGCATTAGAATTTAAAGGGGGGAATACAAAAAACTAGAGGGAAATAAAAATAATTTATGTCCTTTGAAGGAAAATATCTTAGAGACATTTAAAAATAGTTACTTTTATATTGTCGTGATTTTTCTTTTTAAAATTTTTCCGTTGAGGTGTGCTTTATGTCTAGCAAAATATGCAAATCTAAAGCTACATATTGAAGAATTTTTTTGCATCATTAATTTTATTTTCATTCCATATATTTTACAAAACAATGACAGAAATTAAGATTGAGATAACAAACTTGTAAAAATTTGTGGTATTGATGTGATTGATTTAATTCTTCCCAGTAAGCCAGAATTAAGAAATAAAGTGGTTTCCCATCTGCAGGCTAAGTTAACAACATCTGTAAGGTACAAGCACATACAAAGTGTGTTGTAGGTTGTTAGAACTGCCAGGTACTCCCTGCGGGGTCAGTGCATACTGCTGGCAACAGACTCCCTCCCATCCTGAGCCCGGGCAGAGGTCCAGGAGGGTCCCGCACCAGACTCCTCCCTCGTCTGGGACTGAGGAGGCTCCCACCTTTCTCTCTCGCCGCTGACCGCTGCTGACCGGCAGTGCCTTCTCAAAAAATGGAGGGATGTGCGTGCAGCTGCCTTCACCTTGAACGGGCTGCATTTCCTGAGTGTGATGTCCTTCCTTTTGCTGAGCAACGCCTAGAGCTTAGCGTTTACTGGTTTATTGACTCGTTATGGTGGAGGTTGTGCCTGAAGAAGAATAGAGCAGCATCCTCTTCATTCAGTTGCTGAGGGATCTTCGTTACCCAATTCTGTTGAGTTGGGTCCTCTGTTTCTCCTCCAGCGGCCTGCCACTGTGGTGTCGGTGGCGAGGAGAGTATGGGGCTCGGGCCCCGGGCCCCTCAGGAGAGACTGATTGGGGGATGTTTCCGGAGACAGTGGTGGGTGTACCTGTCTTGATGGAACAGATATTTCTTAAAAGTGTCCTGTGAGTTGAATTTTAATAAATCATTTACAGTTTACCCTATTTTCATGTTTAAAAAGGAATCCTGTGAGTAATTTTAGAGATTACATTTGTTCCCCTTTATGAGATTAATTTGTGTTTGAATTTTTATTCAGAGATATCTGTTTATGAAATGCGATGCTGTTAAACTAAAAGTAGTCCCCTGCCTCTCTGCCCGTCCTTCCTCTCCCCTCTCTTCTGCATCTGCACTTACAGCTGCCTGTTCTACAAGCACAAGGAGAGGGACAGCGTACTGGTAGAAAATAAGTAACTGTGGTGTGGTTGTGTATTTAATTCAGATACAAGGGGAAGAATTAGAAGATTTTCTTAAAAGGAAAAATCAAAGTAAAAACCCAGGGTAATGATGATCCTAGCTGTTGACACTGGGTGGCAAATGTTGTGCTTTAGGAGGATGGCTTCATTTCAGGTGCAACCATTACCCTCATTTTACAGAAGAGGAAATAGAAGCTTTGAGAAATTAATTAATTTGCCCAAAGTCACACACAGAAAAGAATTATTTAAGCACAGCTGAGATTAAACCCAGGTTGTCTGCCGCCTTTAGAGCCTTAGGTGGTAGGATTGGTCAGAGTCTCATGGAGCCTTAACAACGCCCCAGCGGTAAGAAGTTCGCTGGTACCTCTTGATTGTTTCAAAAGGAGTTTTGGAGTTCTTTTGAGCCAGGGATGACCAACAAGAAAAATTATCTGAGAAACTGATACTAGTAATAAAATCAGTCTCAGTAAGGTATGATTCCCTCACAGAAGAGGAAAGTTGGCAAGAAAGACTTCCCTTTTGGTAGAGAAGCCAAAGACACAGGTTGCCAAAATACCCGGAACAAGGTATTATAAATATTTGTTGGATGAGTAGGCAAACATAAAGAAGTTTCAAGGTCAAGCTGCCCAACCTTTGGTGTCAGAATTAGGCTGGCTTCGTAAAATGAGTTGGGTGGTGTTCTCTCCTCTGTTTTTGAAAGAAAATTATATCTCTGTACGGTGGTATCTCAGCACTTGTTCATTTGTTCTGGAACTCATGACAAGTACCGAAGGAATTTTTCAAACCGCCGGTGATGAAGCGTTTTCTCTTGAGGGGAGGTGTCGCACAAACTCTAGCAAGCGCAGCGAGTCCCCAGCAAGCAGCGAGTGCTGAAACCCTTTTTTCTCATCAAAATGCGACCAGTACAGGTTTTGACAAGTTCTGAATCTGACGAGTACTGAGGTGTAACTGTAATTTTTTTAGTCATGGCTTAGGGATCACCTAATACAACCTTAGAATTAATATTTACTGCTCCATGTAAAATGTGGGAACCTTGTGACTGTGAAGTGCATTTATTCTTACATCCTTTGTGCTGCTTTATCTTACTACATCTGTACTTAACATAATTGCCTCCATACTGCAGTGTTAAGAACTTTTTTTTTTGCTTTAAATCATCATGTCTTTTAAAGAAACTAGAAGGAAAAAGATAGTCTTACATTTATTTACATATTTTCTATTCTATTGTTCCTTATTTTTCCTGTATATTAGAGTTTCCATCTATTGTCATTTCTCTTCAACCTGAAGAACTCCCTTTAGCTTTTTTTTAAAAAAGATTTTGTTTATTTTTAGAGAGAGGGGAAGGGAAGGAGAAAGAGAGGAAGAGAAACATCAATGTGTGGTTGCCTGTCACGTGCCCCCTACCGAGGACGTGGCCCACAACCCAGGCATGTGCCCCTGTTACAGAACAAACAAGGGGGGCCTGGGACGATATACTATTACTGAAAAAAGCACCCAGGTCCGTTATGTGCGCCGCCAGAGGAAAGACGTCTCTCAATGCCAGAGATTCATGAAAAGGAAAGGAAATGTTTATTCAATACTATACAGACTTAAAGTAGTGACCTAATGTCTTTATCAAAAAATCCTAAAGTCCCTTAAAACACCCACAAACAGACACAGTCCTTCCTTCGTTCCCCTTTTGCCCAGTCCAGAGTACCATATCTCAGGAAAGGAAATAGAAGTCCATGGCTCAGGCAGTCCTCTGGTTATTCCCAGTTAGTACTCCATCTTGACTGGGAGACCTCCCTGGGTTCCCGACACCCTCAGCTGAGTCGCTGGGATCTCTAGTAAAACCAGGTGGTGGTTCCCCCTTCTAAAGCTGCGGGGGTCCCCACTCTGGCAAAGGCACGTGGTCTTCTCTCCTAGGGCCACGGGAGTCCCCACTCAGCCAAAACCGCGTGGTTCTCTCTCTCAAGGCTGCAAGGCGGGGGTGGGTCGCCACTCGGCCAAAGCCGAGTGGCGGTTCTCTGCTAAAGCCTCATGGTGATTCTCTCTCGCAGGGCTGCAGTAGTCTTGACTCTGTCAAGGCCGTGTGATTCTCTCTCGCAGGGCTGCAGTAGTCTTCACTCTGTCAAGGCCGTGTGGTTCTCTCCCTCAGGGCTGCAGGAGTCTCCACTCTGTCAAGTCTGTGTGGTTCTCCCCCTGCACAATGGCTGCAAGGGGGCGGGGGGCGGGGGTCCGCCACTCTGCTAAAGCTGTGTGGTTCTCTCTCCAATGGCTGCTGCATCGGTTTAAATCCCCGTGCCAATCTTCCTCTGCAGCCCCATTTCCGACTCCTCCCACACTCGGCATCACATGCTAGAACTCATACCCTTCCAGCTTTACTGGACTGCCATCGTGAGTCTGGGCAGGTGTGGCCCCAAGTCCTGGAGCCAATCATCTCCAAGCTCCCACGCAGGCGCTGTAACTCGGGAGACCTGCCCCCCAGTTAGTCTTGATGGGGAAGTTACTTCCATTTCCTTGGCTCTGAGCATGGCCACAGCTATTTAACATATCTAAGTGACCAGCCAAAGGCTATAGATATGTTAAATGACCACACCAGAGGTTAGCTGCAAGGCTGTTCCTATGAGAAACAGCTTTCAAAGGCCCTGCTCCATGTGTCCCTTCCCCCAGCCCACACCTGGGGAATGGGGGTGAAGACATCTTAAAATCTGGACACCTTAAGTTCTGGACCCCATTTCAAATGCCCATTTGGGGTCCCCCCTCTTGTCTGCACCCTGTAACACCCCTACTGGGAATCGAACCAGTGACCCTTTCGTTCACAGGCCTACGCTCAATCCACTGAGCTACACCAGCCAGCTTTTAGCTTTTCTTACAGTGAGGGCTCCTGTAACTGAACTGTTTTCATTTTTAATTATTTTCCTTATTTTTGAAAGATAGTGTTGTTGGCTATAACATTTTTTTTTCTTTTCACACTTGAAAGTTTTACGGTCTTATGGTTTCCTTGATATTTTATAAACAATTAGCCATCATACATATTGTTGCTTCTCTTTATGAAATGCGTCATTTTTCTCTGACTGCTTTCGAGATTTCCTTGTTGTTTAGCAATTTCATTGTGATACAGCTAAATGTGGTTTTCTTTATGTTTAATTTGTTGTGTTCATTTGGCTTCTTGGATCTGTAGCTTAGTTTGTTTCCTCCAAATTGGGCCATTAATTCTTCATATATTTTTTCAGTTTAATTCTTTCTCTTCTCTCCTTTTGGGACTACAATTATATGTACGTTAGATTTCCTATATTGGAATAGTGTCTCATAGGATGTCAAGTTCACTGACTCTTCTATTTTCTTCCTATAGTGCATTTCTGTTTAAAATACTGTACTTTGTATTGTTCTGTGCTGGTTTCATTACTTTCTTGAGGTTCTTCCATGATTTATTCACTACAACGACCATACGTTCCTTTAAGTCAGCTGGGTGGCGAGTCTGGTACCACTGACTCTGCCAGGGCTGGAAGCAGCGGTCACTCTCCTTGCTTTTTTTCCCCTTTCCTTCCCTGTAGGAAATACTTTGCATTGAATATTTGTACTATCCCTCTGCTCTTGGTGTGGATCTTTCTTATTCCTTTAGGCAAAATATCCTTTTCTTTTTTTAATGGGAG